ATATGATTTAAATAAACTTTAGGAATTTCTGCTCTTCTGAAATTTTTCCGAAGAGGATGGAAAAAGGGTTGCACATCTTCCTCCCAACAGAAATTTTTTCTTTTGGAAATCAACTCCAGACATTTGTTAAATTTTATAACATCGTTATTTGCCTCTGCTTAAATTTTTAATGTCATGGTATGCCGCACCATGGGTAAACAACAACAAACAAACAAAAAATATGTAATGTCATCGGTAGATGGCAGTTTAATGGCACCCCTTGAAGTTATGCAACATATTTTGGTGTGTGTGTGTGTAAAGTGGTTTCGAAATGCCAGTAGGATTTTCTCTGATAATCACAAAATCCGTTTATGTTTTTACCGTGCACAGACAATTCAATATGCATCGAATGGTTGACTGTTGCAGTAGCAAAAATTTAATTTTTTTCTGAATGCTGATTGTATTGCATATTTACAGGGGCTTATAGAAAGTTTTTTTCTCTGTATAACTGCTACCCCGTAGGCTACTTTTCTTTTTTTTTGTAGTTAATTCCCAGCATGATTATGGTCATGTTACTGGGACTGTACATACAGGCTTTTGGGATAAATGCATAGCTCAGAGGCTGCAGGTAAAATGGTAGCATACTTCAAGGGGCATTAGTAATTTTATTTGTAAAAAATAATGATTTTTTTATATGAAAATATGGATATCTCTAATTGATTCGTAATAATTGTGCCTATCAAAGGCTCAACTTTAATAGATTTGCCATAAAACATTTGGTCCAGTTAATCCAATAAATATGTTGCAAATAAAATAATTCCAAAATGAATGCAGTTAATTGAAAAATAAAAGTTTGAAAAAGGGGCATACTTTTAGGGACATGGAGTGAACAGAAACTACATATAATAACAAACTCATATGATGACACATAGATGGCGCTAAATAAAATAAGTTATATAGCGAATTCAAAATCTTTTTGGACACTCGATTGGCGTAGATTTAAAAATAAACCATTATTTGGTCCTTCGACAGGCGTAGTTTTATAAATATACCATTATTTGGTCCTTCGACAGGCGTATATTTATAAATAACATATTTTTTGGTCCTTCGACAGGCGTAGATTTATAAAAAAATATTTTTTGGTCCTTCGAGAGGCGTAGATTTATAAATAAAATATTTTTTGGACCTTCGACAGGTGTAGATTTGTAAATAAATATTTTTTGGTCCTTCGACAGGCGCAAGTTTGTAAATAAAATATGTTATGGTCCTTCGACAGCCGTAGGTTTGTAAATAAAATAGTTTTTGGTCGTTCGACAGCCGTAGGTTTGTAAAGAAAATATTTTTTGGTCCTTCGACAGGCGTAGATTTGTAAATAAAATATTTTATGATCCTTCGACCAACCTAAATTTATAAATAAAATATTTCTTGGTCTTTCGACAGGCGTAGATTTGTAAATAAAATATTTTATGGTCCTTCGACTAGCTTAAATTTTAAATAAAATAATTTTTGGTCCTTCGACTAGCCTAAATTTATAAATAAAATAATTTTTGGTCCTTCGACAGGCGTAGATTTGTACATAAAATATTTTTTGGCCATTCGATAGACGTAGAAATATAAATACAATATTTTTTGGCCATTCGATAGACGTAGAATTATAAATCCAATATTTCTTGTCCCTTCGAGTGCCGTAGATTGATAAATAAAATATTTTTTGGTCCTTCGAGTGACGTAGATTGATACATAAAATATTTGTTTGTCCTTTGAGTGACGTAGACTGATAAATAAAATATTTTTTGGTCCTTAGAGTGGCGTAGATTTATAAATAAAATATTGTTTGGTCCTTCGAGTGACGTAAATTATTTTATATAATAAATTTTATGATGCAATTTTCTGTATCGCATATTATTATTTATTTTAAATTTATAAAAATAAAATATATTTATTTTTGCAACTCAGTGTCATGGTAAGCCCACGACAATCACAGGTGAGAGGTTATCAATTATTAGAACTAGTTTGAGGCGGAGTTGGTAGTATTTTTGTTAACAAGGGACACGCGTGCTGATATACCGCTAACAAAAAATCAACACGTGAAGGTACACATTAACTAATCGTGTGGCGGTGGGATTGTACCAGCATTGCTGTAATTGAAAACATTTTATTTTACTATTAAGTAATTATTGTTAAAAAAATTGTATAGAAAATTCTTATCTACCATCATTAGGTATGTGCGGAATTTATATTTTTAAAATATAGAAGCAATTATTTAATAATAGAATTATTACTTAATATTAAAAAATATATATTTATAGCCAAGTATTTGTTATTATTTTCCGAACCATATAATTTCGCCAAATCCGAAACAAACCTATTAATTTCTGTAAAAAAAAAACTCAAACCTAAACCAATGACTAACCGTGTGCGAAAATCACTCACTCCCCCTTCTAATTATTTCCCGTTTGCTAATTGTATGTAATTTCATCAGACACTTTCTAATTCGGAAATAATTAAAAAATACTCAAAATACAACGTAAAAATAACAACGACGACGAAAAAAATATTCCAGACAATTTTTTTGATTTTTGAGGTTAAAAGTTCAAAAATGGTTTGTTTTGCCCAAAATAAAAACTGTTTATGGCACCATCGGCAGTGGAATTCGCAAAATTATCAACACAAAACAAATATGCCCACTTTTCATTTCATTTCGAAAAAAAAAACTGTTTATATAATTTCTATTTGCTGATGTTGTTGTTATTGTTCACATTAATGCAAGTAATAGAATTGACCTTCCACTGATAACGTATGCCCGGCCGATCGGCCTAGGCAGACGCCACCACCAGCACTGCCACCCATACACAACTCAATGATTGCGGGCTAAAGATAGATGTAATGGATGGGAGAAAATAAAAGAACCAGAAATAAGAGAATACGCGGACTCTAACGAAGTGGAATTCCACTACAGGAGATCATATAGAAATCTTGAGAAAACATTCTTTAATAAATCCACGGCTAATAATAGGCCTTAAAATATGTTTTAATAAATCCACGCCTAATAATAGGCCTTAAAATATGTTTTAATAAATCCACGCCTAATAATACGCCTTAAAAATATGTTTTAATAAATCCACGCCTAATAATAGACCTTAAAAATAAGTTTTAATAAATCCACGCCTTGTGTTGGTCGCCAAAAATTGGTTTTAATAAATCCACGCCTTGTGTTGGTCCTCAAAAATATGTTTTAATAAATCCACGCCTTGTGTTGGTCCTCAAAAATATGTTTTAATAAATCCACGCCTAATAATAGACCTTAAAAATATGTTTTAATAAATCCACGTCTGGTATGGAGCCCTAAAAATGTGTTTAAATAAATCCACGTCTGGTATGGAGCCCTAAAAATATGTTTTAATAAATCCACGTCTAAAAATAAATCTTAAAAATTAGAAATATTTTTCTAGAGACCTATAGGAAGGCGTGGATTTTTTAAAAATATTTTTCTATAGGCTTTCAAAAAGGCGTGCATTTTTTAAAAATATTTTTCTATAGGCTTTCAAAAAGGCGTGCATTTTTTAAAAATATTTTTCTATAGGCCTATAGGAAGGCCTATTGGCCTCTAGAAAAATATTTTTAAAAAATCCACGCCTTCCTATAGGCCTCTAGAAAAATATTTTTAAAAAATCCACGTCTTCCCATAGGCCTCTAGAAAAATATTTTTAAAAAATCCACGCCGTCCTATAGACCTCTAGAAAAATATTTTTAAAAAATCCACGCCTTCCTATAGACCTCGAGAAAAATATTTTTAAAAAATCCACGCCTTCCTATTGGCCTCTAGAAAAATATTTTTAAAAAATCCACGCCTTCCTATAGGCCTCTAGAAAAATATTTTTAAAAAATCCACGTCTTCCCATAGGCCTCTAGAAAAATATTTTTAAAAAATCCACGCCGTCCTATAGACCTCTAGAAAAATATTTTTAAAAAATCCACGCCTTCCTATAGACCTCTAGAAAAATATTTTTAAAAAATCCACGCCTTCCTATTGGCCTCTAGAAAAATATTTTTAAAAAATCCACGCCTTCCTATAGACCTCTAGAAAAATATTTTTAAAAAATCCACGCCTTTCTATAGACCTGTAGAAAAATATTTTTAAAAAATCCACGCCTTTTTTTGAAGGCCTCTAGAAAAATATTTTTCAAAAATCCACGCCTTCCTATAGGCCTCTAGAAAAATATTAAAAAAAAATCCACGCCTTCCTATAGGCCTCTAGAAAAATATTAAAAAAAAATCCACGCCTTCCTATAGATCTCTAGAAAAATATTTTTTAAAAATCCACGCCTTTTTTTGAAGGCCTCTAGAAAAATATTTTTAAGGAAGGCGTGGATTTTTTAAAAATATTTTTCTAGAGGTCTATAGGAAGGCGTGGATTTTTTAAAAATATTTTTCTAGAGGTCTATAGGACGGCGTGGATTTTTTAAAAATATTTTTCTAGAGGCCTATGGGAAGACGTGGATTTTTTAAAAATATTTTTCTAGAGGCCTATAGGAAGGCGTGGATTTTTTAAAAATATTTTTCTAGAGGCCAATAGGAAGGCGTGGATTTTTTAAAAATATTTTTCTAGAGGTCTATAGGACGGCGTGGATTTTTTAAAAATATTTTTCTAGAGGCCTATGGGAAGACGTGGATTTTTTAAAAATATTTTTCTAGAGGCCTATAGGAAGGCGTGGATTTTTTAAAAATATTTTTCTCAATATTTTTCATTGTGTAGCAAAAGTGATGTCCAACCCAGTAGACCTCCTTATCTCATTTCAAATTCTTTTGTCATAAAAATATCTCATCCAAGATGAATGAATGGGAATATTCAAATGATAATAAATTCTATATGTATAGGTATAGCCTACTAGAGAAGCTCAGCTTTTAATTCCAGCCATAATTGCCCAGCTAGAAATGAAAGTGATTAGTAGAAGCTTAGAGCTCTAATAGTTCGGACTAGGAGGAAATAAAATCGCTGATAATAAAAGTGAAAATCTAAAATCTATACACAAAATATGTTCAAAATTAAATTAAATAGTTTGACAATTAGCTGTGTCTTCCTGACATTTTGTCTAATACAAGTGAGTGGGAGGAATTTTTGAAGTGAAAAAATAAGTAAAAAAAACTTAAATTTGTTTCTAACTCCAGTTGGCCCAAAGTGGTGTGGTAAAATCCCCGGTAATCAGTGAAGGTGTCAAAGAGGATTTTGAACGTGAAGCCCGCCTCGAAACTGAGGAATTTCTGAATGCCATTTTCACAGCCCAAATTGACTTCTTCAATAAAATGAAGAAGTCGCTGACACCCGAGACAAAACGTTACAAGGATATAGAGGTCTTTGTGCAAAGGCTAGAATTGGCCAAGGAGGAAAAGGAATTGGAAAAGAAGGATGTCATGTATTGGGAGACGTTTCAACAGGTGAGGACCGATAATTTTGGTCACGGGGGAAAAAATAAATAATTTTCCTGTTCGTATTGCAGTTCAACAAATCTCCCCTGCTATTGAATGACCCAGCTGAAACCGGTATGACCGATGAGGCCTATCAAAAGGCCCTCACCGATAATGGTTTTAAAGAACTTCTAAAGAATTTCTTTGCCGATGTTGCTGTGTATTTTTGGAAAATGGCCAAAGCCAGTGGTAAGGTGGTAGAAACCACCGTCGATGAGTATTTGGAACAAATGCAAAGTTCCAAATCTTTATTTTAGAAAAAAAAATCATAACTATAACTAAGGAGCAATTTTGTGGTATTACATTTTTTTATAAGTCTTAAGTACAAAAAGAAACTGAATTTTAGAAATTAATAAAAAAAAATATTTAAATGTAATAATTAATTTTTAAAAATATTCGTCAAGACCCCTCATATGAGGCGTGGATTTATTAAAGAATATTTTTCTAGAGGCCCATATGAGTGAGGCGTGGATTTATTAAAGATTTTTTTCAAAGGCCTATATGAGGCGTGGATTTATTAAAGATTTTTTTTAAAGGCCTAATGAGGCGTGGATTTATTAAAGAATATTTTTCTAGAGGCCCATATGAGTGAGGCGTGGATTTATTAAAGATTTTTTTCAAAGGCCTAATGAGGCGTGGATTTATTAAAGAATATTTTTCTAGAGGCCCATATGAGTGAGGCGTGGATTTATTAAAGAATATTTTTCTAGAGGCCCATATGAGTGAGGCGTGGATTTATTAAAGAATATTTTTCTAGAGGCCCATATGAGTGAGGCGTGGATTTATTAAAGAATATTTTTCTAGAGGCCCATATGAGTGAGGCGTGGATTTATTAAAGAATATTTTTCTAGAGGCCCATATGAGTGAGGCGTGGATTTATTAAAGAATATTTTTCTAGAGGCCCATATGAGTGAGGCGTGGATTTATTAAAGAATATTTTTCTAGAGGCCCATATGAGTGAGGCGTGGATTTATTAAAGAATATTTTTCTAGAGGCCCATATGAGTGAGGCGTGGATTTATTAAAGAATATTTTTCTAGAGGCCCATATGAGTGAGGCGTGGATTTATTAAAGAATATTTTTCTAGAGGCCCATATGAGTGAGGCGTGGATTTATTAAAGAATATTTTTCTAGAGGCCCATATGAGTGAGGCGTGGATTTATTAAAGAATATTTTTCTAGAGGCCCATATGAGTGAGGCGTGGATTTATTAAAGAATATTTTTCTAGAGGCCCATATGAGTGAGGCGTGGATTTATTAAAGAATATTTTTCTAGAGGCCCATATGAGTGAGGCGTGGATTTATTAAAGAATATTTTTCTAGAGGCCCATATGAGTGAGGCGTGGATTTATTAAAGAATATTTTTCTAGAGGCCCATATGAGTGAGGCGTGGATTTATTAAAGAATATTTTTCTAGAGGCCCATATGAGTGAGGCGTGGATTTATTAAAGAATATTTTTCTAGAGGCCCATATGAGTGAGGCGTGGATTTATTAAAGAATATTTTTCTAGAGGCCCATATGAGTGAGGCGTGGATTTATTAAAGAATATTTTTCTAGAGGCCCATATGAGTGAGGCGTGGATTTATTAAAGAATATTTTTCTAGAGGGCTCATATGAATATTCTTTCCTAGAGGCCTATATGAATATTCTTCCCTAGAGGCCTATATGAGGCGTGGATTTATTAAAGGATATTTTTCTAGAGGCCTATATGAATATTCTTTTCTAGAGGCCTATATGAGGCGTGGATTTATTAAAGAATATTTTTTCGGGGCCTATATGAGGCGTGGATTTATTAAAGAATATTTTTTCGGGGCCTATATGAGGCGTGGATTTATTAAAGAATATTTTTTCGGGGCCTATATGAGGCGTGGATTTATTAAAGGATATTTTTCAAGGGCCAACTGAGGCGTGGATTTATTAAAGAATATTTTTCAAGGGCCAACTGAGGCGTGGATTTATTAAAGAATATTTTTCTAGAGGCCTATATGAATATTCTTCCCTAGAGGCCTATATGAGGCGTGGATTTATTAAAGAATATTTTTCTAGAGGCCTATATGAATATTCTTTTCTAGAGGCCTATATGAATATTCTATCCTAGAGGCCTATATGAATATTCTTCCCTAGAAGCCTATATGAATATTCTTCCCTAGGAGCCTATATGAGGCGAGGATTTTTTTATTTAATTATTTTTTTTTTTAGATTGAAAAATATTGCATTATTTAAGGCTGCCACAAATCAAAGCATAGCCTTGTCTTCCTCAAATCGCCTTTTGATAAATCATTAACGAACCAATTCAATTTTCCACTAAATTAATTCAAATTAGTTTTGTATATTTTTTGCATAACCTCTATTATGACTGTCGGTCGGAGTTTCCATTCATGTTTACCAATAATTCAATTTATGTAAAAAAATAAAATCCCTTCTCTATTTAAAGTATTTTCTTTTTTATTTTCTAACCCCCCTGTCTCTCTCCATAAACCACCTCTGTATTCAGTTTCAATTACATTGATTGCTTTCATAGGGTAATTTCTGTGTGCATATGTGTTAGTGTTTATTCACTCACACGCACACACATACATTTGCATTTGTGTTAATATTTCAAAAACATATTTCAATGAATTGAATGAATGAAAACATAAAAGTTGTAAAGAACACGGTCCGACCATCAGTTTGTGGTTAGTTTGTGTTGCTTTCGGTTGAGGTCCTTTTGAAAATTTTAGCTTTCTTTCCGATCCTAGCTCCACTTCCCTTCATGGCCAACCAACCAACCTACCATCCGTTAGTCAGATCTCTATTTATTCATCCTTGTGTGCCAAACTATCATCGGAGTATAGATTTTTTTTCATTTTTACCTTCACCTAAACTCCAACACCTTTGGTTGCTGCCGCCGCCGCCAGGAGGGTTGTAGATTCCATTTTCTGCTGTCATTGACTGCAAAACCATAAAATATGTTTGTATAGTTTTTATATTTTGTATTTTACCCCAAGTTATATATGTTTGTTGTTGTTGTTGTATATATATTTATGGTGTACATTGAAAATTTGATAAAAAGGCTATAAAATGTGCATAAATTTATGTGCAAGTTTTTTGGTGGTTTTTGTTTGGAGTAGAAATGACTAAATCCATTAGCAATGGGATTCTTTAATAAATTCACGCCTCAGTTGGCCCTTGAAAAATATTCTTTAATAAATCCACGCCTCAGTTGGCCCTTGAAAAATATTCTTTAATAAATCCACGCCTCAGTTGGCCCTTGAAAAATATTCTTTAATAAATCCACGCCTCAGTTGGCCCTTGAAAAATATTCTTTAATAAATCCACGCCTCACCCTTGAAAAATATTCTTTAATAAATCCACGCCTCAGTTGGCCCTTGAAAAATATTCTTTAATAAATCCACGCCTCAGTTGGCCCTTGAAAAATATTCTTTAATAAATCCACGCCTCAGTTGGCCCTTGAAAAATATTCTTTAATAAATCCACGCCTCAGTTGGCCCTTGAAAAATATTCTTTAATAAATCCACGCCTCAGTTGGCCCTTGAAAAATATTCTTTAATAAATCCACGCCTCAGTTGGCCCTTGAAAAATATTCTTTAATAAATCCACGCCTCAGTTGGCCCTTGAAAAATATTCTTTAATAAATCCACGCCTCAGTTGGCCCTTGAAAAATATTCTTTAATAAATCCACGCCTCAGTTGGCCCTTGAAAAATATTCTTTAATAAATCCACGCCTCAGTTGGCCCTTGAAAAATATTCTTTAATAAATCCACGCCTCAGTTGGCCCTTGAAAAATATTCTTTAATAAATCCACGCCTCAGTTGGCCCTTGAAAAATATTCTTTAATAAATCCACGCCTCAGTTGGCCCTTGAAAAATATTCTTTAATAAATCCACGCCTCAGTTGGCCCTTGAAAAATATTCTTTAATAAATCCACGCCTCAGTTGGCCCTTGAAAAATATTCTTTAATAAATCCACGCCTCAGTTGGCCCTTGAAAAATATTCTTTAATAAATCCACGCCTCAGTTGGCCCTTGAAAAATATTCTTTAATAAATCCACGCCTCAGTTGGCCCTTGAAAAATATTCTTTAATAAATCCACGCCTCAGTTGGCCCTTGAAAAATATTCTTTAATAAATCCACGCCTCAGTTGGCCCTTGAAAAATATTCTTTAATAAATCCACGCCTCAGTTGGCCCTTGAAAAATATTCTTTAATAAATCCACGCCTCAGTTGGCCCTTGAAAAATATTCTTTAATAAATCCACGCCTCAGTTGGCCCTTGAAAAATATTCTTTAATAAATCCACGCCTCAGTTGGCCCTTGAAAAATATTCTTTAATAAATCCACGCCTCAGTTGGCCCTTGAAAAATATTCTTTAATAAATCCACGCCTCAGTTGGCCCTTGAAAAATATTCTTTAATAAATCCACGCCTCAGGTGGCCCTTGAAAAATATTCTTTAAAAAATCCACGCCTCAGTTGGCCCTTGAAAAATATTCTTTAATAAATCCACGCCTCAGTTGGCCCTTGAAAAATATTCTTTAATAAATTCACGCCTCTATATGGGGTTTGGAATTAAAAAAAAATATTTTCCCAAGGGCGTGGAATTTTTAAAAATATTTTTGTAGAGGCCTGTATGAGGGCCTGAAAGGAGGCGTGGATTTTTAAAGAACTTTTTTTTGAAGGGCCTGAAAGGAGGCGTGGATTTTTAAAGAACATTTTTCTGAAGGGCCTGAAAGAAGGCGTGGATTTTTAAAGAACATTTTCTGAAGGGCATGAAAGGAGGCGTGGATTTTTAAAGAACATTTTCTGAAGGGCCTGAAAGGAGGCGTGGATTTTTAAAGAACATTTTCTGAAAGGCCTGAAAGGAGGCGTGGATTTTTAAAGAACATTTTCTGAAGGGCCTGAAAGGAGGCGTGGATTTTTAAAGAACATTTTCTGAAGGGCCTGAAAGGAGGCGTGGATTTTTAAAGAACATTTTCTGAAGGGCCTTTAAGGAGGCGTGGATTTTTAAAGAACATTTTCTGAAGGGCCTGAAAGGAGGCGTGGATTTTTAAAGAACATTTTCTGAAAGGCCTGAAAGGAGGCGTGGATTTTTAAAGAACATTTTCTGAAGGGCCTGAAAGGAGGCGTGGATTTTTAAAGAACATTTTCTGAAGGGCCTGAAAGGAGGCGTGGATTTTTAAAGAACATTTTCTGAAGGGCCTTTAAGGAGGCGTGGATTTTTAAACAACATTTTCTGAAGGGCCTTTAAGGAGGCGTGGATTTTTAAA